AAACTTAAAGTTTATTTTTTCTCTTAATATATCATTGTTGAGAAACAAGAATAATATTGTTCATTTTAATATAAATTGAAATTAAGAGATATTAAGATGACAAATTATTAATTTAATTACATACTTAAAATTGATTCAAATACATTAAAAAAATCGTTTTAGTATTATTATTAAAATCTATGTACAGAAAGTTGGCCTCTAATAATAATTAAGCTATTGCTAATCTATTAGAATTGAAGTTTTTGTTAAGAGACTTTACTGAGGTTTCTTAAAAACAATTCACAAAATTAAGTCAAGATGAGGTCAATTAACTTTTGATAATCTAATAGCTAAATTAGAATTGGAATCAAGTATATCATTTAAATTAATGATAGAATGTAAATAGCTTGAGTAGAAAGTACTAGTTCTTGAGATTTCAAGATTCATTTAGTTTTATGAGCCAAGTATCATAGATAGCTGATTAGATGAAACGTATTAATTATTAAATTATTTAGATTATCCGAAATGGTTCAATAAAAATGGACTTGTATAAATGGATTTAATGAGTCCTGAGGTACAAGGTATAACATTTAAGGATGTTATTCTTGCTCATTCAGCAGAACAAATTTCATAAGTGATTGTAAGTTAACCTAAGACTTCAATATTCGATAATTGTGATATTCATATGGAGAATCTTATCTCTTCCTGGAATAACAATTACTAGAAATTTCAAGGATTAAACCAAGTCTTTGAAAGATCTGTGAATTTCATTTGATTAAATATAATGATAATTTCTTAAAAAATAAAGTTATAATTATCAATAACATTTTTCTTATGTAGATTATATGATAAATAAAGAGATCATAGATTTATAGGTTGAATAGAAGTATAATATAAGATGGGTATTATATAATGAATAATTTGATTAGATAGTATGATTAAATATTTGATAATGTTTATTGGAATATAAACATAAAAATAAGTTAAATTTGTTATTGATTTCAATACTATAATGAAATGAATTTGAGTAAGAATAATATATGTGAAATTTATATTTGATATTATATTGGTATACATAGATAAGTTATATTATGGATGGAATCTCTTATTATATAATATGCTATAGTAATTGAATTATAAGAATTATAAGAAAATCAAATGAAAGTTTGTTGGATATAATAGTAGATAGCAACTATTGATTATTATTAGATTTAATATTTAATGAAATAAGCTACGATTTTCTTGTCTGCTGCTTGTCCTTCAACAGATGTGCACTTGGCACGTGTTATGTCAGCCATTAAGGTATCCAAACCAGACACTGAATTCCGTTTTGTTGGTATTGGAGGTCCTTAAATGGGTCATGAAGGATTAGAAACAATTGGAGTAGATTATCATGAATTCCAATACAAACCATTCTTTCCATTCAGAAATTTCTATAGATTGGCGTACACTCTATTGCTAAGTTAGTACTGAGAATGCAATGCATCCAGTCCATATGTACAAGAGATGGATCAATAAAAAAGTTTTGAATAAACTTGATAAGTAATACTTCGAAATTGTTTAACATTATCAACCATCAGCATTCTTGAATTTCGAAAATGAATTCTTCATGATTCAATTCTATAAGAAATTAAGAGAGTCCTATCGACATTTTAATCGTATTTGTCCTCCTACATTCCAATATGGTTTAACACATAAAGATTAACCTCAATATGGTTAAAAGTATGTAGATCATTGGTTTACAAGAACCCCAATGAAACAAGTATAATATCATAATTATTTAATTAAAGAGTAATTGGGAGAAATTTACATTCCCTCATACATAAGTTGGACCAGATGGACTATATAGAGCATTTAGACATCTTTTATCCAATAGTCCATAATATAAAGATTTAGTCTAAAATGATACTATATATCTTCCAGGAGGTGAATTCTTTAGATTTGATGATTTCCTTGCTGATAGAGTCAATGAATAAAGAAAGAAATATAGATAATAATAAAATATTGGAGATTAGGAATTATTAATATTTGTTGCAGGTGGTAATACATCTAAAGAAATACCATTCTGTCTTAAAACTGTTGCTGAAGGTATTTCAAGATTCCTTAAACTTGATGAAATGAAGAATTATCCAACTGATTAAATTAAAATCATAGTATCAGTTCCTGAATTTGTTGAACACAAGGATCGAACAATCAAAGTTATCAATTCTATTAAATGGCCAGCTAAAGTCATTCAAGTCTAAACTGAATCTGAAAAATTCTCAGCTATTGCTGCTTCAGATATTGGTTTAGCTTGTAATGGATAAATAGTTGCTGAATGTGCAGCCTTCTAATTACCAACTGTAATTAATTCTTTATCTATATATTTTAGATTATACTTGATCCTAAACCTACTATTTAAATGTATTACACATCCCTCTATAATGGAATTGATAATGACTTAAATATAGCATATAATGGAATTGTATATCCGTAATTATAATCTATTATTTCAAAATAGAGAATTAGTCATGTCTACAATACCAAATAAAATTGCATACTCCTTATTAGAACATTATTAAGATCCAAAACTAAGATACTTTTATGCAAAATAATATGCTCCAATCTTATAAAAAACATTAGCCAAAAGTGAATCCTAAGTACCTTAAGAATTAGTATTTTATTTTATTTAATTATCATAGGCAAATAGATTCAATAGTGTCTAATTAACTGGTTATAATTCTGCATATGAAGTAATTGCTAATACAGTCTTGAAAGCAGCTTAAGTTTATGATCACATCCACTCCTAAAGTAATTTTACTACTTAGTAAAATGAAAACTTAAGAATTGAAGCTATGTAAAGTTTAGGATGGGCTAAAGGATTATGAAAAAATAATCACATTTATAAATCAAAACAATACAATATATATTATATTTCACATAATATTACTGAATGTCATTAATTAATCATTTTTTGGACTCGATTCTGATTGATTTACTAAAGTCAAAAAACAAAAATTAATTTAATAATTACAATTATTCTATCCTATCTAATAAAGTAAATTACTCACTATCCTCTCACATATTATTAATCTATGCTTAGGAATATTCATATTAATTCCAGATATTATTAATTAAATATCATTTTAATTCTATTATTTTAAGATTATCTCATTTGCATTATAAATTTTGATTAAACATGAAATTAATGTAAAAAATAATGGAATTACTGTGAAAAATTGATTTATTTCAAAATTAATGCGAATGTACTCTTTTTTTATAATTTAATCCATGAATAATCTCAATTTATAATATTTCAACTCCTCTACTTATTCAACAATTCTTTCTTTAATATAATATGAAGTGTAAAGCAAATTTCTAAGAGTCTCCTTGTAATATAATACTTGATTGGTCCTCTTAATCCTTTTTAATACTCTAAGATATGAATTATTATTCCATGATTGATTCAACAAAGTCTAAGACTCAGAAAATTTAATTGTAATTCTTATATCTACTAATTTTGTTATTAGACAGTTAACCATAAATCTCTCTCTTCGTTATGTATGTATAACTTGTATCTGGAAATCATTTGAGTTATCCCTAATTCGCTCCAACAAGTATTAATTGAGACTTATTTTTGTATTGATCACCTTAAATTCTTTAAGAAATTCTTTATTTTCTACATAGATATATTTATTCATTGATTTGTTTGCATGTAACAATTCAATTCTCTCCCATAATTCATTATATGTTAATAAAACTACTTTGTCATCTACTAAATCATCCCAAATAGAAAATGAGGATTTTTACTGCTCATTTAACAAAAACAATGATCTGTTGTGTTTTTATCTAAAATATTCCTTTTACCAAAAAAGTATTAAATAGAGGGGAAAGATAAATGTGTAAGGATGTAAATTATTATGATTACGCATGAGTAATCTTAAAACTACATAAGTCAGCTATAATAGTTAATTTAAAATAAAATTTGGGGTTATAGCAAAATTCAAACCCAGAAACTAGGAAATATCAAAAATCCATTCAAACTAATCACTTTTTAAATCTGGGTCATATATAGGAATCAAATGATAGAAAGAGGCCAATAAGCTAAAAGTTGATATCAAATACCCAACCACGAAAATATATTATTATTTCATCTTTATGTAGTAAAAAGTTATTGTCCACGAACAGCTTATTCCAACTAGCATTATGCCTATAAATATTTAATTTCTTTTTATCCAAAAAATACTCAATATAATATTTGATATTGACATCAATGCAATCGTATATTTGAATGAATTGAATAATTCTAATGAATATCTCTCTTGATATTTCTTCTCTAAGTTTTTGTCCACAAAAGTTAATGTAAAAGGATTCATTTTATTTATTATAATAAGATAATAATCAAAAATATTTGAAATAATTAATTTGTTACTATTTAAAGAATTATTATAATAATAAATATTATAATAATTACTAATAGATCATACTCTTAAAATAAATATATTATCTAATTCTTAAGATAATTTGATGATAAAATTTTTAATCTTAAAGAATTAAAATTGAATATCTTTATTAAAATTGAGTAATTAAGATATATATTTCATTTTATGGAAAAATTAAAACATTCAATTAAAATTCAAATGTTTTAATGAATTTTCCAAATAGACTTAAAATAATTTTGGCAAGATCAATAACTTAATTATTTAGACTAAATTAATTCATAACTTAAAATTCAAATCTATCAAATTCATCTTAACAAATCCATATAATAATAAGAAAGATTAATAACTATTTTATAAAATAACATTAAAATATAAATTTCATTTATTCTTAATAAATAGAAATTACACAATATCATAGTATTAATAAAAAAATCTTGAATTTTTTTGAATATCTTTCTTTCTTTAGAAAATGATTCAAGATATCTTTTTAGTCCATTTACTCATCCAAACATTAAGAAATAATATCAAAATTCAGAAATTACTTAACTTTTTTCCTTTTGATAAAATTTATATATGACAATTTAAATAAAATAGTAAATTTCAGCATCTAATCTTTTCTAAAAATGACTTAATCTTGCGCTCACTATAACCCTTCATTAAATCTGTTTAAGTTCCCATGTTAAATAAACATACTGAAGGAACTTATGCCATCTAATAATAATCACATATAACTTGTACCGCAAATTATTACACTACATCATAAAGTTCCTCATTGTTCACATTAACCAAAGCAAGTTACCATTTTTCAGGATTCTTTTCAACCTCTTATTTTAACTAAGGATTAAGCTTATGGCATGGGGCACACCTAAATTTTATTTGATATACAATTATACCATTCAGCAAAAAAACTAACAATCACAGGTCTTTGATTATTAACAACGTGTTCAATCCAATCTTTTAAAGTGTTTATCTCTAAGCAAATCATAAATATATAAAATAATACTTTGTCTTCAAAAAAATTAAAGCCAGTTTATAGGATTTGATAATATGTAATAATAAAGATTTAATTGACGAAATACTATCTATTTAATAAATGTATGACAATAAAAATTAGATTCTAAATTTAAATAAATCAACCAGCTTCTCTTTTTATTTATTTGATAATTTAATAAAACTCTGAATTAGGACTAATATTAATATAATTCATCCATTTTTATGCATTTCATCTTCAAGATAAAAATATAACTAATTTTTTAATCTAATTTCAATTTTATATCTATTTTCTAGTTAAATGAAGCCTTTTGTATTAATATATATTGAAATTTTACATTTCTTATAATTATTTATTTAATATAATATTAAATATATATATAAAAATGAGAATAGATACTTTCTATCATATTTAACTACATTAATAGTTGGTATATACAACTTTGGATACAGTAATGACAGTTGCAAATACTATCTTTTTTCATTTAAATATTATTTATATATTATATTGTAATCTATTTTATTTAATATAAATTTTTGATTGTTTCAAATATATTTCAACAGTTCTGGATTGGATGCATCTATATCTAAATAATTTCTTTCATATAAATTTTTAATTATTGTTGATATCTGATCAATTTAGATATCTTCATTAAATGTGTTTTTTGTATATTACTTTACATTCTCAACTAAATCTTAAAATAAAATAGTTTTTTTAATCTTTAATGTTTTTAAAATAAAAGCTTCTATAGGTAAATTTAGATTCCGCTTTGATTTTGCTAGAATTTTAATAAAAATAATACCTTTTTTTAAATATAAAATTGGGATCTAGGTATTTGTTATTATTATTTTATTTATTTTTTAATCTTCTAATTCTTCCCATTCTTCATTAAATCTATAAAGTTTCTCATTATCAATGACTACTTCTTCTAAAATATTTGAAGCTTTCATCTCTAAACAATTTTATATGATAAGATATTCTTATAACTTTGTAATTTATGATATCATCTTAGTACTTAAAAATTCATTTTTGTATTAATAAACAAATAATATTATTGCTTAAGGGATATTAATACGTAATGTTATTTATTTCTTTGAATACTCAATATCAACATAAGATAATAAATCTAACCAATTGATAAATTTTTAATCTTATTAAGATTCAAATTTTAATTTTAATTTACCAATTATAAAAAACTCTTCATTTAATTCTATTTATTAATATTAAAATTTAGGCCAATCTGACTACTTTAATAATAAAGGATGCTAAACAATCAATTATTTATTATTTTCTATTTTAAATTCAAATATGGTTTCTCTACTTTTTGAGAATTCCTCTATCATTAGTTCTAAAAGGTAGATACTCTAATTTCCCATAAGGCTAGACATTTTCTAAATTATTATTGATTCAGTCTTTAAGTAAACTTAATAAAATTCTGTACTAGATAATATTCGATAGTATTTTAATAATCTTTAAGCTAAACGATTTTGATAATACTAAAATCATTTATATAATTTACAAGAGTAAAATCATTTTTTTCAGATAAATATAACAATAATTAGACTGTGTCTCCCAAATATTAATTATCATTTTAATTATTTATAACATTTTCTATTTCTTGTTCAATGAATAATACAAAATATTCTTGAAAATCTAATTTCTAAGAAACTATAAAACATTATAGATGATACCTAATCAGAAAAATTAAGTAATTCTTCAAATACATTTGTTAATAAAGATTAAATATAAGTATTTTGATTCCAACAGATTTATATCATTTTATGATATTTCTGATGTAATTAAAACAAGGAAATGACAAATCTATGAGATAATTATTAATTAACTTCTTAATTATTTATTATTTAGAAAATGAGTATCCCTTCTTATAAGATTTTTTATTTGATTTTCATTTTGATATCTTAATCATTTGGATCTAAAGTTAAATATAATTCATTTAATAATCCTAAATCATCTTAAATTTCTAAATTCTCAGAATTGAAATTTTCAAGAAGAGATTCTAAATTAAAAGGTATATTCTCAGATAAAATAAATTCTTTAAAACTATGAAGTAATTATTCCTCTAATTAAGAATTAATCTATAATCTTATTGAATTATCATCAAAATTTAGTATTTAATTATTATATTCTTTTTACATTTTAACTTTTCTCAAATAAAATGGAATTTTATATTCTTTTGCCCATTTATTATAAAATTCTTAATATTTATTTTTGAAATGAGTTAAAACTACATTTGTAAACTCTAAATAAATATTATTATTTGCTTATTCCTTCTGTAAATTAATTAAAATATCTCCAAATTGTTTTAATGTATTACCAATTTTCTTCCAAGATGAATCTTAATTTTTTTATATTAAATAATAAGCAACATCTATTTACTATAAGAAACACTCAAATAATTATTTTAGAATATTAGTTGAACATAGTTTTTGTAACAATAAATAGTTTAAATAATCTTTTAAAGCTTCCTATGGATTTTTAGGATAAATTAGATTTATCTTAATATTTTTATTAAATATACAGCAAAATACAATGAAGTAAGGAGATATTTAGATTTTTTTATATATTTCTAATACATTTCAATAAAACATTCAAGTTTTGAACATCCATTTGTTTAATCATAAAAATTCAGATTATTGAAAAGAGGAATAATCTATTAAATTATAAAATCTACTTAATCTTCTATATGAATTTGAACTAGCTTTTTTAAAATTCTAATAAAATTTATAGCCATCTCTATTTATAAGTCATTGCTGAATTTCAATATAAAAATCATTATTTCACTATTCAACTAGCTTTAAAATTTTGGAAATTCTTTAATTGGATAAGTAGTAGTATTAAAAATATTATTAAAAGAGTTTTCAATTTTTTATTCAAGTTCTTAAAATTATGCTTTTGTTTAATTTTATGATTATATCATTGATTATATTTTAATTATTCATATTTTCGTTAATAGGGTTTCAACAACAGTAAACACTAAGATAGGGTTAAAATGTTTTGTAATATGATTTTTTTTCAATTAATTAGACATTAAGATTTTACAATAATGATATAAAATATTATTAAAATTTTACTCTTAATTTAAAAATGCATTTGAAAATAGAGGAGGAAATAGAAATATTTGATAGAAGTTGTATAATAATAAAAAAAGATAGAGAATTGAGAAAAGGTTAATGTTAAAATAAATAATATCTATAAAAATAATAATTATTATTATTATACAATTTAACAAAATATATTTTCAAAGTAATATTACTTATTGACTTAATAACAAATAAAGATTATGAGTATAATAAATAAGATTATAGATTTACACATAGCCTTATCTAATAATGAAATTCTATCCTATTTATATACAATTGTATTAGAGTATACAAAGAGATATTGATTTTTAAAGTCATATAAATAAACATAGTGAATTAAGATTTAATTTAATATAATATAATGACTTTATAATAAATAAATAATTTAATCTGGATTTTTATTTATAAATATGAGTTAATAAGATGAAGGAGAAGAGAAATAAGATGTTGAATAAGTAGAACCAGTTGAACCTGATGAGCCAGATGTACCTTAAGAAGAGTATTATGCTCCAGAATCATTATAAATTTAAAAGTTACATAATGATATCAAAGAGGGACTTAAGAGAATTGGTAAAACTGCCAATTTAAGTGGATATACATTTGTGGAATTAATATGTGAAAATAAGGTAGAAATTAATATAAAGCATCTTAGAAAATAGATAAGTTGTTTAATATAATGTAGGATTATGTTAATTTGAGAAAAATTAGTTTTGCAAATAATCAATTAAATGATGTGAATAGCTTATAAAGTATTAAATATTTAACAAATTTGAATTTATCATTCAATCAAATAACTAATTTGGATAGTTTTAATGTTCCAAATACATTTGAATTCTTGGATGAATTAAATTTGGACAATAATAAAATTACAAACTTTGCATAAATCAATGTACCTAGATTAAAGAAGTTATCATTGAAAAATAATTTAATTAAAAGTGCATAAGGTTTTAATGGGCATAATACATTAGAAATTCTTGAATTAAGAAACAATAAATTAGAGTCTTTTGAAGGGTAATTATATATATATATGAATGTATTATAGATTTTAGAATTTATTGAAGCTAAAATAAATTTGGGCTGCATAAAATTCCATAATTTCAATTGGACATTTGAATCAATTACCTGAATTACATACTTTACATCTTAGAGCAAATAAAATTATTGTTTTAACAGATATTCCAAATTTACCAAAATTACATCATCTTAATCTTAGAGCCAATTTAATTGAAAAATTGGATGAATTTAATAATCTTAAATCATTAGAGAGTCTTAAATCAATTACTATGCATGAAAATCCAATTGCAACTGAAATGGGAGATGGAATAAGAAAAGAAATCATTATGATATTACAATAAATTGAAAGAGTAAATAAAGAACCAGTTCCTCCAGAAGAAAAAACAGATGCTTTGGCAGAATTAAAAGAGAGGATTGCTGCTGCCATTTAAAAGAAGAAAGAGGAGGAAGAAGAAGCTGCTAGATTAGCAGAAGAAGCAAGATTAGCTGAAGAAGCACGATTGGCAGAAGAAGCTGCCAAGGCTGCAGAATTAGCAGCTGAATAAGCTGCTGCTGAATAAGAAATAGCAGATAAAGCAGCTAATGAAGGAAAAGCAAATTAACCTAAAGTAGAGTAAGAAGAGGAAGAGGAAGCTTGATTATTAAAATTAACATAAATTTTCAATTAATGCATCAATAATAATAATAATAGGATGAATAGAAAAGATCTCTTGTTTAGGAGAAAATGTAGATGAAGTAATAAGGAATAGATAATGGAAATATGAGAAAAATAAATGACGAGGATATCTAGAAGATTTAGGCTTATGAATAGATGTAAATAGAAAATGCAATGAAAAATTCAACATGGAGCACTTTAATGTTATTAAAAAGTAAAGAGATTGTAAAATCAAAGTAAAAATATTAGATATTTATATTTTAAGATGGAGACCAAAAAAAAAATAAAGATTGTGGGATTAATATAAAATAGATAAAATTTTGAAGAAATATTCCATCATGATAGAAGGTAATGATCCTCCACCTCCAATAAAATCATTTTAAGATTTAAGAGTAGATGACAGAATTTTAAAAATTTTAAGCAAAATGAAAATTAAAAAACCTACTCCTATTCAAATGTAAGGATTGCCTGCAGTGTAATTTATATAATAATAATTAAGTTTAATGGGAAGAGACATTATAGGAGTAGCACCAAGTGGTTAAGGAAAGACTTTAGTATTTTTATTACCTGCATTACTATAATGTATAGATGAGTAGATGAAAATGCCAATAATTAGAGGTGAAGGACCTTTTGCTTTGATATTACTTCCATCACATGAATTGGCAATCTTAACATATGAATTAGCTAAACAATATTGCCACAAATTTTAAAAGAAAGTAAATGATTTGTTAATATTAATTTTTAGGGATTTCCAGAAATACATTGTTTATTAGGAATAGGAGGTATGGATATGTCATCATAATTATAATCAATAAAAAATGGAGTTCATATTGTTATTGGAACTCCTGGCAGAATTAGTGACATGGTTAATAAAAAGAAAATAAATATGGATTTGTGTAGATTTATAGTTCTTGATGAAGCTGATAGAATGTTAGATTAAGTATTTGAATTGGAAATCAGAAATATATTAGAACATTTTACAGTATTATTAATTAATTGATACCTAAGTTTAGGGTCCTAGATAAACTATGTTATTCAGTGCTACACTTCCAAAGAAAATATAAGAATTTACAAAATAAACATTAGTTGATCCATTAGTGATAAATGTAGGTAGAAGTGGTTAAATTAATTTGAATGTGATATAGGAAATATTATATGTTAAACAAGAAGAAAAATTACATTATTTATTAGATAGTCTCAAAAAAACAACACCTCCTGTTGTCATTTTTAGTGAGCATTAAAATGATGTTGATGATATTAATGAATATCTTTTAATTAAAGGAGTTGAAGTAGTTGGATTACATGGAGGAAAATAATAGGAAGATAGAACTAAAGCATTAAAATAATTTTTAAATGGCTAGAAAGATGTCTTAGTTGCAACTGATGTAGCAGCTAAAGGTTTAGATTTTCCAGATATTAAACATGTTATTAATTATGATATGCCAAAAGATGTATAAGATTAAATTAATTTAGATTGAATCTTATATACATAGAATTGGAAGAACTGGAAGATAAGGTAAAACTGGAAGAGCAACAACTTTTGTTAATAGATAATAAGAAGAATCTATTTTATTAGATTTAAAGTATTTACTTGTAGAATCAAAATAAAGTATATTAATTTATTTAAATAATAGAAATCCCTTAATTCTTAGAGAAATTGAAATCAGATGAGGATTTAAATGGTTCATGTGGTTATTGTGATGGTATGGGTCATAGAATGGCTAATTGTCCTAAACTAGAAAAGTAGAAGATGAGAGTATACATTTGTATATAACTTTATTTTAGATTTTAACTAATCCTAACAAAGAAAGTTGTCCAGATTTTCTAAAAGGTTAAAATTATAGAGAAAGTTAAAGTGCAGAAAGAGAAAATTAAATGGGATGATTTGAATTAAAATTTTAATTTTATTTTATATTATCTGGTTTATTAATATTATAATAGTTTAATTTCTCATTATTAAAACTTTTAACAATTTTATATAACTATTATTCATAATTATTTAAAATTTAATACTGAAATATAAATATAGCAAACATACTTATCTATACATACACAAAAATATTAATAAATCAACTGGATCGACTGATTATATCTTCAGGTTTTGGTTCTTCATCGTTTGATTCTTCTTCTGATGCTTATGCTAATTCTTTTTCTAATAAATGAGGTAATTTTTATCCCAAAAGTGATATTAATCTTTAATTAAATCTAATCTATTCTTCAGACATAACTTAATCATCTAATCCTATTAATTTTTAATAAGAATTAACAAGATCAGTAAATAATTAAGATAAAACTATTTCATGAGTTGGATTATCTAATATTTACCTTAGTCTAAAAATAATAATAATAATAATAATTACACTGTTGATTTTCTATTTCTTTTATCTCTTATCAAACTTATTGTTGGTCTATGACTAAAATTAAATAATGTAATTTATTCAGGATTGAAAAGAACTCTCTTTAATTTTATCATCTCATGTAATTACTTAATAATATATTATATATCTAATTCTTTATTCACTTATGCTCTATTAATATATAAATAATAACTACATAGCCTTCTATAATACTATACACTCATCTGTTTAAATACATGAAATCGGTATAATTTGACTCAATATCAATTTCAAACTTATTCCAATATGTTAACTAGTAACCATTAATTATTTGAATTATTCAAAAATAGCAGAACATTGAACCTTTAATTAACTAACTCTCTTTAATTTACTTGATCTATGAGAATTTATGCCATCTTTTAATTTGATGCTTTCCTGTCTGTCAATATTTTAAGGAGATAAAAACTATCCCATGATAGGTTTCTAATGAAATGTTGACATACTCTTTATTTATATAGCAGAATCCCCTTTTATTTTATGCATTGATCTTTTTAAAGCTTCTCTTCCTCTTTAAGTAGATGCTAATAAAGCATTGTGTGCCTCTAAAGTATTATTTCTTTTTTTATTAAGATCAAATTCATATAAATCATTTGCCATTTCTATAACCATATGTTCACGATTGTAAAATTTAATCAAAACACCAATTACTGCAATCATAAATTATGAAAATCCCCCTAAATTACTTAATAATTCATCTAGTCTCATAAAATTTCTTTTAATATCATAAGAGTAAGGACTTCTTACAAAATAGAAAGCACCATAATATCCAGGTGTTAAACCTGAAATTGCTGATTACTCTCTATTATCCATATAATCTCTTGTTATATATGTTTAAGTGGTTTTTTGGGGATACATTAGTATTCCATCATCCGTTGTGACCTTCCTAGGTCTAAGGAAAATATCTGATTGAACAAACATAGCATTTGGAACAAAAGAGTAAAATTATTCTATGGATATGTAAGGTTGAATAAAATGCTTTGGGGATTCAGGGTTAATTAACTATAAATATAAATATTGATTAATATACATAGTTAGTTGTATATACCTAAAATCTAAAGCTTCCATAAGATTTTAAGTATTTCTACATTTCCTCTTCAGTCTTGCATTGTGGTTTCCAAGAAAAATTATTCCCAGAATTACTTTTGCATGAGGAAACCACAAATTTTAAAAATGAAAATTCTTTACCTATTATTATATTATTATTGTCTTACTTGTCCATGCCCCTCCAACTGTCATATTTGATGTCAAAGGATGGTTTAGATTTGGACACAAGAAATTGTTTAAATTATATTGCTTAAACTAATCTTCAAAAGAGGTATTGTATTAATCAAATATGGGCTTGAAATGTTCAAGAGTACAAGGCACTAAATCTACATAAAGAGGAGGCAACTTAATCTAAGTACCATTTTCATCTCTGATATACCCTCTCTATTCCACTGTTATATTAAAATAAGGGTTAGTTGTAAAATTGACTTAATCAATCTGGACAGCAAACATAAAATTATTTGGTAAAAGTTAAATTGTGCTTGGATCTTCATTAAATTACTGTTCTGATTCAGATGATACTGTGTTTTTTTAAAAAAAGTCAATAATATTTGAGTAAAAAAAACTGATAATGGTGGCAATAATGCATAAAGAAAGCATCCCTCCTAAACTAGTTCTGTATTATTCTTCTTAACGAAAGCTGAGTGTTATTGATTATCCAAAAATATCTATCTTTCTTAGATTATCTTTAAATTTTGTAAACATTTTACTATTAATCAAATATTCGTTGTTGTAATATTTATATATGAAGTAAGATCAATTAAATGAACGCATCATTTAACTTTAGAGCAAACAATTAATTTTATTCATCTATAATTATGAAAAAGTGTTCAATACTCAATATTACTAAAAGTCTATAATTATTAATTTAATATTCAATATGTTGGAATAAATAATATATATATTTTATAGTGAATAAAAAGTGATATTTAAAAATATGATAAATCTAATTAAGATATTAATATGATTACAATTATTCTATTTTTCAATTTTGTAAATATCAAAACTTCAGTTTGCTGATTTCTTAATTATTAATTTATCCTTCAATAAAATTTATCCATCAATTATAGTTTCTATTATATTTTACTAATGTTGGATTCTAACATTTTATAATTCTCATAAGATATGGAAATTATCCAAAATTTATCTTTTTTTGAATAAATATTATGAAATTTACTTAACATATCATTTATTATTTACTATAAATGTATATATAAAACTTTGATACTCAATATATCTATATAGAAATCAATTTATGATATAATTTATGACTTTAAAATCTTTTTACAAAAATTATTAAATTTTCTACAAAGTATATAACTTAGAAATTGGGAATATTACCTATAGAATATTGTTTATAATTATAGAATGAAAATTTATATGAGTATATTTATATAATGGCTATGGGTATTTTTCAATTAGAATTTAGAGAATGTTTTTCTTAACTCAATCAAAAATTTTTGTAATTTACCTTATTAATAAAAATTATGAGTTTATAAATTAATTATTATGTTTTAATTTTTAATATATATTATATTTGGAGAAAATGCTTTAAGATTAAAGTATACTTTAAGAAATCATTTGATTTTATTAGATAGAAGATAGAAAGTGCTATATATTTAATAAAAACAGCTAGTGTGATAAATAAGATGAAAACTTATTTATGAAAATATTAAAAGATATGTTTATTTTATTATGATTAATTCTATATTAATCATTGAATTCTCTTATTTGTTTCATTTGAATTTAGATCATCCTATTAATCTTAAAATTCATTTGAAGTTATTTTAATTTTGTATAACAGGGAGTCTGAACATAGATCATTTGACATTTATAAAGCAACTTCTTAATCATAAAGTTTTCCATTTACATCATCAACTTACAAAATATATCTTAAATCAACATTATAATATTTCAAAATAAACTCCTGATCTAAATAGTTTTAACTTAAACCAACCATAAGAACCTAAATTGTATATTTATTTATAATACTTTGTTATATAGAGAAAAGGCTACTACTTTATTTGGATTAGTGAAATCATGGTATTAAGATACTCCACCATAGGAATAGACTATCCTTTTATCACTTACAGAATTATTAGGTAGCTAATATATTGATATCACTATATTATTATTATATCTATATGGAATTCCTACTTAGAAGAGCTAACGATCAACAAATAATCCAGGCAAAACTTAAGCATTCAAATATCTACTTAAAGCATAATTATATGTAAATGATATAACCTTTTGATTGTATGAATCGTAAACCAATTAAAACTTGTAATTCAAAGATTAAGAAGTAAACAATATATCAATAGTAGCCGTATAACTTGAATAGGTTGGATTTTAAATGAAAGTAAAATCAGTGAATTATTGATAAGTTATTTCCCCTCCATTTTGAATTATTATATCAGATAAAACAAAAGTATTAACTAAACCTAAACCTATATTAAATATTCTAAACTTTCCTTCTTCAGTCAAAGTCAAAAAGTATGAATATGAACCATAACCATAAAGATTATGTACCATGACTTTAACAAAGTGTTCATTATATAATTAAACAGAACTTATTTATTTGCTTAATGTATAAGTTGCTACATAGGTTGTATTACTAAAAGATATTGTGTAGTAATTTAGTTAAGTATCATTACTTTTGACATTCATAGGAAAAGTATTAATAAAAGCTAGATTATAATCGTTTAAATGAAATTGTGGAATATAACTTATGTTTACTTGTAAGGGTGAAAATGTAATTTAATCTCCACATGTATAATTACTTGTACACTAAATAGTTGCTATTTAGTATTAATTATCAACAACACAAGTAACTAAAATATAAATCCAATTCATTTATATTCTTTGACAACGAGTGTTAGGATTTGTACTTATAATGATATTTTTAACAAATTAATTATCCTTATTATAAACTTTAATTGCTTAAATATCATTTATAGATAATAAAACTAATCTAATATCTGGATTTGTTTAGCCTTATAGTACAAATTAATCAACTACATTTAAATTTTCTCCTTCTTCTTAGTCATATAATCTTAATGGTTATACTATATCAATATTTTTACCCTAACCACATTATTAACATTAAATTAAATAATCTACTATTGTTCCTGTCATATCTATATCAATTTCAGATTTTTTCCACTTTTCAATAAAAACATCTTAATTAGCATTCTAAAATTTAATTTAAGTCTTAGATTAATATAAAACAATGGCTTAACTTAATGTTATACTTGGATTATATTTTAGATTCCACATTGTTAAATTTAATCTGAATTTATTTACCCATTAATTTGTCTAATAATTAGGTACAATCTAATATTAGGGAATCTTATCAATCCACCCCATATTATGATTTACTCCATCATTCTAATAAAAGATAAACTATTTAAATCCAGCAGCAGATATTTAAGTATCAAAAATAGA